TATACTGAAAAGCTTTTTCATGAGGGTAAACACATTAATACTAAAATATAAATGGAAAAATAATCATGTAAGAATAACAAAGCAAACTCTGAATAAAAAAGGCCAGGAGGGAGTCTATTAAAACACTACAAACTCTCTACTTAGAACACTGTGGTAATGGGTCATAAATAAACAAAACTAGCAGACTACAATAGAAAGCCCAGAAATACATGCAAGTACATATAGAAATTCGGTGGGTGGCAAAAGCAGCATCTCGAATCAATGGGGCAAAGACTATCTGCCTAATAAATGGCATGGGGTCAATCGGCTAACCACCTAAAAATAATAATAAACTGAATCCATACCTCATACCATATACCAAAATTAATTCTAAATGGATTAGAGAGCTAAATATAAAAAATAAAACCATACAAGTACTAGAAGAAAACATGAGTGAATTCCTCTATAACCTGGCCTTTAGGGAAGAATTTCAGAATACAATTCAAGATCCATACACAAAAAAGAAAAAAAATAAAATAAAAACCTAATAATAATGACAAATATAAACTATATTTGACTTTGGTTTAAAAAAGCCATCACAGGACCAGCAGTTAGCGTAATGGCTATGTCGCTGAACTCCCACGTAGTCAACCATGGTTTGCGTCCCGGACCTGGTGGCTTAAACTCACACCGGGTGCATGTGCGTGCGTGCCCAAGATCCTGAGAGGAGAACGGAGGAGAAGGAATTGCGGCGTGGCCATCCCCCCTGGGGGGTGATTTCTCACTTTCTGTCTCTCTCTGTCTGTCTGGTGAGTGCATGTGCCCTATAGCAAAAACCTCTCCAAAAAAAAAAAAAAAGCCATCACAAACTCAAAAGACAACAAACTGGGAAAAATATTTATAACACATTACACAGGTTATAAGACTAATATCCTTAATATGTATGAACACTGATAAAAAAACATTTTAAAAGGAAAATGGGCAAAAGACATGATCAGGCAATTATTGTAACATGTCTAAAATGTATGAAGAGATTTCAACTTTACTCATTAAAGTACTATGAAATAAAATTACACTAAGACATAATTTCTCACTATGAAATTATTAGCAAAAATCAAAAGCTTGACAAAAATATGTCAGACACTAACATGCTATTAGCAAGAATGCTAAGTATTATAATCTTCCTAAAGCAGAATTGACAATTTTTAAACAAATTTACACAAACTTACCTCTTACCCAAAAATCCTACTTCTAAATATGGACCTCCAATAATACACAAATAGGTATGCACAAGGTTATTCATTATAGTATTTTGGGGCTTGTAAAATATCAAAAATAATCCTATATATACTGTAGAGTGGTCAAATAAACTACAGTACTTTCACATAATATAGTAGTATACAGTTGTTAAGTTTTGCTGTAAAAACAAAACAAAACAAAAAAGAGGAAGGAGACCTCTATATAAACTATGAGCGATTCTAGAGTGATTTCCAGAATACATTTTAAAGTGATAAAAGCAAATATAGTATGCCATCTTTTATGTAAGAAAGAGAAAACAAAACACACATATACTTATAAAAAGAAGCACAGGAAGAATAAACAAAAGAACTAATGAAATTTGCTACCTACAAGAATAAGGGTGGTGGCCAAGAAGTGACATGGCGGTTTAGGCACTGGATCCCACATGGCCGATGCATGGTTCAAGCCCCAGACTCGGTAGCTTGAAAGTTACACAGGGTACATGTCCATGCATGACCAAAAGCCCAAGAGAAAACTAGAGGAGAAGGAATTACAGTATGGCCATCTCCCCTGGGAAATAATTTCTCACTTTCCCTCTCTCTCTTTGTCTGTCTCTGTGACTGCACATGCCCTATTGCAAACTAAAAACAAAAAGAAGTGTAGAACAGAACTAGTTAGGAATAGGGATGTGTGAAAATCGTTTTTTAAAATACTTTTGTCAGGCTGGCAGGTGGTGGTGTGGTTAAAGCACCGGACTCTCACACGGCCGATTGCAATTCGAGGCCCAAACCTGGCAGTTTGCTTTCTCACTCTCCCTCTCTCTGCTTCTCTTTAGACAAACTGAAAAAGAATAATAAATATAATTAAATAAATAATTCTTTAAAAATATATACAGTTGTCAAAAGGATAGAGGGAAAAAAATCTAAAACTGATCACACAGAAACAAATGAACCTAATTATATATCTAGTTAGTAGAGTAACTTTTGAAAATCTGCAGTCTTGGGGGCCAATGGGTGGTGTAGTGGTTAAAGTGCTAGAAAACCCACAGAGCTGACCATGGTTCAAACCTTGGACCTGGGCATCTTGAAAATCACAACAAATTAATAGATAAATAAATAAATAAAAGTTAAGAAAATCTACAATCTTGATCTAATAAACCTATAAATTATAGATTTATTTTGTTGGTGATATGGGAAGAACAAATCAAAACTACTTTTATGTACTATAGGACTGAATATTAATATATATATATATACACACACATATATATATATTGTTTAAAGTTTGCAGACATGCTTCTCAGAAGGGTACAAACACAGAGTGACAAAAGACTAAGGAAACCCAACAGTGCCAACTTAGCTGGATGTGGTAATATCAGTGTAAACTCATGATCTATAACTAATTACAGAGAAATAGATATTAATGTGGATATGTATGATACAATGTGTGACTGTAGGTATGTGTATGTGTGCACGTGTGTGTATCTGCTGAAAGGCCTAAAAGCAATGACATGTCAGATGCAACAAGCACATTCAATACTTAGATTGTGGTCTCTAAATACCTTTCGTCAATAAAATGAACAAGGGCTTTTTGAAGAAATGGCTGATTCCAGGGCAAGGCCAGAGAAAGCATAATAAGAGCTATGTTGTGCTAGAAATCACAAGCTTAAAAATACATGTAAGATGTCAAAAGGGCACACGAATGACTTAAAGAAACTCCCATTGGCCAAATCTGTGACAAATGAATACCAAAACAAATAAAGAAGAAACAGATTATAATCCATTGAAGCAACAGGACAGATATCACTTTCACCAAGTCACAAAAGGAAAAGGTACAAATAATGGTACCAGTGACACCACTGCCTGTTGACACTATACTAATAGGGACTTATTATTACTTCAGAGGGATTCCTGCCCAAAATGTAAAACCTGAGTATAAATGAGGAAATATCAGACAAAGTCAAATTTGAGGAAAGTCAATAAAATAATAGCCCTGCACTTCTTCAAAACTATAAAGATGACACAAAAGACAAAGAAACAAAAGAATCTAGGATGAGATTTTAAGACTCCTGGTCAATTTTTTATTAATAAAAAAGACATGAAAATTAACTGCAATAAGTGATTGGTTTTGGTTCTTTGATCATGAATTTTAAAAATGACCATAAGTGGGACCAGCAGATGGTATAAATGGTTGCGTTGCTGAATTCCCAAGTAGTCAACCACAGTTCAAGTCCCGAACCTGGCAGCTTAAACTCACACCAGGTATGTGTGTGTGCGTTCCCAAGATCCTGAGAGAAGAACAGAAGAGACGGGATTGCAGCATGGGCATCCCACCTGGGGGGGTGATTTCTCACTTTTTGTCTGTCTCTCTCTGTCTCTCCAGCAAGCAAATGAAGAAGACCATAAGTAATATTATTGTGACAAGTGGAAATCTAATAATATCCATGGATTAGATAATAATAATATTGAATCAATGTAATTTCCTTATTGAGATCTTCTATTGTGATTGTGTAAATGAATGCTCTTGTTCTTAGGAAATACACACAAACATAAATTCCTAATATATTTAGGAATAAAGAAACATAAGTATGCACCTTACTCCCAAATAGTTTTTTTTTTAAAAAATGTGTGTATGTGCACACATGTATGTATATATACACAGAAAAAAAGATAAATAAAAAAACAACTGTCTTAACAATTAGTGAATATGGATGAAGAGCATTGTTGTGGTTTGGATTATGGTTTGTGCTTCAAAGGTTCCTGTTTTTTGCTTTGGTTCCCAGTATGACAGAGTTCGAGAGGTGAGACCTAGTGGGCAGTGACTGGATCATGAAAGCAATACTCTCATGAATAGATTAATGATGTCTTGACAGACCCCAGAGTTCTAGCTCTGGTGAGAAAGGGTAAGTTCTCTCAAGGGTGGGTTGTTACAAAAGACAGAGCTACTGGCAGCTTACTCTCTCTCCCTCTCATTTTTTTTTTTTTTTCATATTTTAGCCAGACAGTGTGTGTGCTTGCCAAAGAGAGACAGAGAAAGAGGGAAAGGAGAACGTACCCCCCCATGGAGCATGGTCACATGACATTCCCTTCTCCTCCAACTCTCCCTTCTTTTGGGATTTTGGGCACACATGCCAGGCATGATTCTCAAGCTGCCAGGCCTGGGACTCAAACAGCACTATTAGCCACATGGGATCTGGATGCCTTATCCAATAGGCCATGGAATGAGACCTCTCTCCCTCTCATATTCTTACTTCTGCCTCTCTCTTGGCACGTGCCTGTCAAACTCTCTGCCCCTGCGGGTCATGTTATAGGCCAGCCTAATGCCAGGTCTACACCTTCAGACTTCCAGGCTACCAGAACTGTAAGTCAATAAACCTCTATTTCTTCATAAATCATCCAGTCTTGGGTATTTCAGTTAGCAACACAATAATGGACTAAGACAGGTATATAGGAACTTTTTATACTATTCTTACTACTTCAAAAAAATTATATCATAATAAAAATTTGTTTTTAGGGGCTTGTAGGGAACATGGTGGTTAGGTGCTAGACTCCCACATGGTTAACTGCAGTTCAGGTCCCAGACCTGGCAGCTTTCTTAATCTCTCTCTCTCTCTTCTGTCTATCTCTGGTCAAATTTAATAAATAAATAAATAATTCTCTTGAAAAATTGCTTTAAATAAAAATGTACTTCTAATTAATAAAAAAGATGACACAATAAACAAACATTTTAAAAGGTCTTGAAAAAAGGCAATAATTGGAGATATTTATGCCATATATACATACCTGTCTGTATTTGCGTTACACTGAGAGTTCAGAGAATTATCCAACTCATTCTCACTTTCTTGTGACTGGCTATTAACAGTTCCTTCTTCTCCTTCATCATCTACTTCATTGAGAGCCTACTTCCACATAACAATAAAAAATGACAACACAGTTGATTAGCTAGACACTCCTCCTTTCTTTCTTTTTGTCATAACAAAAGATCCCTCCTGATAAGGCTATTCCTCCACCTGTGTTCTAGAACCCAAACCCTCTCACTTCCTTCCTGTCCATCAATTTTCCTTTCTCTTGTCTGCATTTTTAGCCTCTGCTATGGCTTGGATATGGTTTGTCCACCAAAAGTTCAAGTGCTGTTAGCTTGGTCCCCAGTGTAATGGTGTTGAAAGGTGGTGAGATCCTGAGGAGGTGGGGACTAGTAGGTGGTATTTAAATCATTAGGTCACCATCTTCATGAAAAGATTAAGGCCGTCTTGCAGCAGGGAGGCAGTTCTTAGGAACGGGTTAGTTCCCAATAGACTAGGATGTTATGAAAATAACATGGCTGCCTGCAGGTCACTCTCTGTACACACCTGTCTCTCTGTTTCTGATGGCCATGCTGTGATGCCACACCAGGGGCTGGCCACATTCTGGTCCACACCTTTGGACTTAATAGCCACCAGAAAAGTGAGCCAAATGTATCTTTTTTCTTTATAAATCACCCAGATTTGAGCACTCTGTTTTAGCAACACAGGAATGGACTAAAACAACCTATGCACTGACTTTAGCTCATCAGCATTTAAATGTGAGCAAGCCTCTTCCATCTTACTCTGGCCTGATATCCACCTCTAGCTGCTCTATCTTTTCTTTCACTATCAAACTTCTTCGAAGAGTTGTTCCTCACTTCTTATTTACCATCTGTGCACTGTAACTTTACCTCCTATTCCTTCCCTAACTCCATTATTGGTCATTCTTTTTCATCCCCTCTCTTCTATCTGATGTGATTCAAGGTCCTCTCTGAACCTTTTTTCCTCTCTCTCTTTTTTTTTTTTTTTTTGAGAGGTTTTTGCCATAGGGTGCGTGTGCTCACCAGATAGACAGAGAGACATAGAGACAGAAAGCGAGAAATCACCCCAAAGGGGGGATGGTCATGCTGCAATCCCTTCTCCTCCATTCTCCTCTCAGGATCTTGGGCATGCAAGCACATGTGCCCGGCGTGAGTTCTAAGCCACCGGGTCCAGGACGCGAACCGCGGTCTACTGCGTGGGAGTCCAGCGACATAGCCATTACGCTAACCGTTGGTCCCTCCTCTCTCTTTATTTTGTATCTTTTCTCACCCACGTTCAGAATGATTTTCCCTACTTCCTAAATTGAAATCACAGTCAAGTGCTATTAATTTCCAAATCTCTATTCTCACCTAAGTTGCTCTTAAACCATAGACATGACGGCTTTAATTCATGCTGTTGGATATACTGTGCACTTGTTTCCAAATAACTTGAAGTGCTCAAAAAATAACTGGCAGAACCAGCAGATGGCATAATGGCTACGTTGCTGGACTCCCATGTAGTCACCCATGGTTCAAGTCCCGGACCCAGCAGCTTAAACTCACGCCAGGCACGTGTGCGTGTGTGCCCAAGATCCTGAGAGGAGAATAGAGGAGAAGGGATTGCGGCATGGCCATCCCCCCGGGGGGTGATTTCTCACTTTCTGTCTCTCTAGCTCTGTCTGTCTTTCTGGTGAGTGCACGCGCCCTATAGCAAAAATCCTCTCCAAAATAAAAAAACAAACTGGCAAATATACAATTTATTTAAATAAATATAACATCTTAACTAAGTTTAAATCATTAAAATTCCAACCATCTGAAAGCTAACTTACTAGTAAGTGCCAAAATATAAATGGGTTTTGGCTAGGGATATGACTAATGGATTCAGTTACTTTAAAAATGGGTATCATTCTTTTTAATTACCTTTGTAAGTAGAAAACAATATAATTAGTACATCTTTTATGATTCTGGACCTTGTAATTCCCTAGAATCATCTCTGTAATCAATAATTCTTTTTTTCTCATAAAAGGTATGAATAATTAAGGAAATTCCATTAAATAGGTATTAAATCCTAGTCATTTATTAAAAGTCCTTTTAATATTAAATTATCCACAGGCTTTTAAAAAATACTCATTATCTCAAAATTCTAAACACTTTAATAAATCAAGAGTTTTATTAGGTTAGAACGTAGTTAATTGATGTTTTACTATTATAATTTTCCCATGTAACCAGTGAATAAACCCCAGGTTTCCTGGGCAGCTACTTTTTAAACATTCTAATATGTTAAAGGGAACTAACATTCCTGGTATTATCATATAGAACAGAATAACAACAAATAGATGATATATATTATCTATCTATCTATATCATACTTCATCTAAGCAGAAACCATATTGGCATATTCTATTCCCATTTAACAAAAAACAAAGAAATGAAAAAAACACTCTGCGCCAACTTGGATATTTAAGAGATCAACTCAAGATCAAAGAGCAGAATATAAACACAGACCCATCTACTCTGAGTGCTGCTTCTGTAATGGTGAATTACGATCTTATGGAGCTACGAGGCCTAGATTTGAATCCCATCTCTAATGCAAACTATGTGATCTTGGACAGATCATCATTTTTCTGAGCCTTGATTGTTTTCATCTATTAAATGAGGCTAGTAACAGTGCCGACTTCCTAGGGAAGCACTCAATGAACATTGGCTACTGTTACGATGTCCTGTCTTATTTAGCACAAATGTTACAGGAAGTGCAATACACCTGACTAACAGCAAATGTAGCACCACAACCTGCATTTACCGATATGAGGGGACTTAAAAAAATTTGTAGGAAAATGGAATTAGAGCATGAGTTCATTTTGAGGCAAAACATTTTGAAAGCTATGAAAAGATTTCTGGCTTTTTTTAAGTCTCTTTATTTCTTGTATGAGTGAGGGACAGAGGGATTACGGGGAGTAAGGAGATACAGACAGACAGTCGGAACCCCCACAGGGTCCTGATGTTGCAACCCACCCCCAGCCTTTAGCCAGCCCTGACCATGGGCAAGCATGTGCTCAGTGTACCCAGGAACCCTCCACATCCAACTGTCTCACAGCATCCTGTTTTAATGCTGTGGCCTGTAGTTTTTACATAATATACATTTTCCCTGAATTTTTAGGGGAACCCTCATATTTAAGCTCTTAAAGTGGTCATCACAATGCCTACATGAACGTGCTCTTCATTTCAGCATGAGCATTGTACTGTGAGTAGGACACATTACCTGAGGCTCTATGACAGATTCGTTAAGGATGGACTGGGCGATGGGGTCCTGATTTACCACAATGGGACCCTGAGAGGAATCAGGAGCCATGGTTATATTCGGAAACCCTACAAAAGGAGAATTATTGTGATGATTTAGTTTCGCTTAAGTTGACTTACAAGTGCTAGACTGCCATGAATTTCCATTATCACATGGAAATCTCAGTAACGATAATGATAATAACAAAAACAGCAGCTCGCACGTACAGGGTATCCACTATACGCCAGGGACTGTTCTAAATGCTTTTACATACATTAACTTGTTTTACTCTCACAAAATCCTATGAGGTAGGTACTATTACAGGTTGGATATTCCTAATCTGAATGTTTGGGACCAGAAGTATTTCAGATTTTGCATTTTTAAAATTTTGAATCATTTATAAATATGTAAGAGAGAGAAAGAGAGAGACCTTGGAAACAGGACCCAAGTCTAAACAAAATTTACTTGTGTTTCATATATAACTTATATACATAGTCTGAAGATAATTTTATAGATACAATATTTCTATATTACATTTTAACTACAGCCCATCCAATAAGGTCAGATGTGAAAGTTTACATTTGTGGTATATATGCACTCAAAATCTTTTAGGATTTTAGAGCATTTCAGATTAAGCTCAACTTATATTATTTTAAACATTCACAAACTGAAACTCAAGACGTTAAGCAACTAGCCCAGAGTCCCACTAAAAAAGGCCAAGCTAAGATTCAAACCTATACTAAAAACTATTAATCTATTTTCAAGAGATTAAGACAATGAGATGGGACCAGCAGATGGCATAATGGCTATGTCACTGGACTCCCATGTAGTTGACCGCGGTTTAAGTCCCAAACCCAGTGGCTTAAACTCACGCTGGGTGCATGTGCGTGCATGCCTAAGATCCCTACAGGAGAATGGAGGAGAAGGGATTGCGGCGTGGCCGTCCCCCCGGGGGGTGATTTCTTGCTTTCTGTCTCTATCTCTCTCTGTCTTCCTGGTGAGTGCACTTGCCCTATAGCAAAAACCTCTCCAAAAAAAAAAAAAAAAAGAACAGATAAACAATGGGTTATATATATACACACAAGAAAATTAATAATGCTGTGTATATGACAAGAGGCGATGATCCTTTTAGAAAAAGACTGAAATTATTTTAAGCTTATAATTAAATTTTACTCAAATTATATATAAATGCACACACTTTAGCTATTTTTTATTTTAATTATCAATAAGCTGAAAATTAAGTCGCATTTTGAAATAACAAATCCTATGCATAACACATAAAATATTTTAGTAGACAATAACAATATACCTTTCCTCAGCTGAATAATTTTTAATCATTAATATTCTTAGCAGGAAGCAACCAAATGACAATGAAGCCTAGCCTAACAAACCTTGTATACTATCCACCACAGAATACTTGTAATATAAATATGATGCCTAAGACTTTTAATTCTCCCAAATAGTCCATTGTAAGCTATAGTTAATAAGTAAAATAAGCTTTTTTTTTTTAAGTTGAATACCTGTGCGCTTACGAGGGATATCAATAAATAAGTCTTTTGCTGCAGCCATCAAATGATCAGATTTCTCCAGCACATCCTGCATCTGGTATTGATCGGAAAGAATCTACACACATGTTAAGATAAATATCATTATTTGGAAAAATATACATTTACTTTTCAAATCACAAAGGAAAAGACCATTCAAAGGGAAGGAACATAAAAATAACCATCAATAACCATTGGTCACTTCTTTCCTAAAATCTTTCCGTGGCAATACCCTGAAGTACCAGTAGATGGCACTACGACATTAATTACACAGTGGCTCTCAGACACCTGGCTGCAATCCAAAGTAACAAACATTTATTAAATTGTGACCCAGTATATGCAAATACACACACACTTTCTTTACATGAAAAGAAAAATAAAAAGTTTTACTTAACCTTTCTCCATGAAAACCATGATAGAATTGTTTTTGCAATTTTTACTGTACTCTATTTTTTGTTAACGATAGTTACAACTCATAATTTGACTTCATAATCCACCAGTGAATTATGGATATGCTTCTTTAGGACCCAGGCCTGATGGTGCAAGTAGTAGGGCACCTCTGCACAAGGATATGGCCACAGGAGAGGCCGGGCTTGGAGCCTGGGCCAATCTGGTGGCACACACCTGTATCCTGACTACGTGGAAGGCTGCACGAAGGATCACAATAGCAAAACCATCAAAAAATACCTCTCTTGGGGCCAGAAGGTGGCACAGTGGTTAAGGTGCTGGGCTCTCATGTGGCCAACCACAGTTTAAGTCCTGGATCTGATGACTTGAAACTTACACTAGGTGGGTGTGCGTGCGTGTGTGCATGCATGTGTGTGTGCATGCCCGAGATCCTGACAGGAGAATGGCAAAGAAGGGATTGCAACGTGGCCATATCCCCCTCAGGAGGTGATTTCTTGCTTTCTGTCTGTCTATTTTTCTCTGTCTCTCCAGCAAGCACCTGTGCCCTATAGCAAAAATAAAAAAAAATTTTAAAAAAAGCCCTCTCTCTTCTTTCTATCCTTCTCTCACATTAAAAAAAAAAAGATATGAATCTTTGACAAATGGGATAAATTTAGCTCAGTCACTGTGATTTCATAAACTACTAATCGGTAGTGACCCACAATTTTTATTTTTTTAATTTTATAAGTTATTTTTTAACAATTATTTCTTTAATTTAATTTACTATTATTATTTTTGACCAGAGAGAGAAAGGAAAAGTGAGACAGTGAGCTGCCAGGTCCAGGACTCGAACCACAGTCAGCCAAGTGGGAGCCCAGTGCCCTTACCATTATGCCACCTGCTGGCCCTGACCCACAATTTAAAAACAGTGTAAGATATAACTTTGAGGGCATTAAGCAAAAAAATGTGATGCTTCTGCGCCTACAAACAAGGTTTTTTTAAGGCAGGAACTCAAAAAATATCCTGACAGCAGTGACTCTGACTATGCACTTTTAATTCAGGAACATTCAAAACTCTGAGCAAGGCCACAGGCCAGAGTACAAGCAGTCAACTGTATCCACCGCCACCAGATGGCCTTCTTAGGTTGAAAAAAATGTCTCAAAACTGAAAACTGCCAGGTTTCCAACACTGATTCGAATCAATGACCAGTAACAAATACTCATCAAAATTTATCAAAAAATAAATATATACAAGAGGTATCAGCTATTGTTTAGGACACAAAGAAAAAAACAAAAAAGGGACCTTCCCCTCTTTCCTTTGCTATGTATGGCTCAGATTTTAAGAATGAAGTCCTGAATTTGTTCTTTCATTAAGAGTAAGATCTGGGGACCAGCAGTTAGTGTAATGGCTATGTTGCTGGACTCCCATGTAGTCAACCGCGGTTTGAGTCCCGGACCCAGTGGCTTAAAACTCACGCCGGGCGCGTGTGCGTGTGTGCCCAAGATCCCGAGAGGAGAATGGAGGAGAAGGGATTGCGGCGTGGCCATCCCCCCGGGGGGGGATTTCTTGCTTTCTGTCTCTCTGTCTCTCTCTGTCTGGTGAGCACACGTGCCCTATGTCAAAAAAAAAAAAAAAAAAAAAACAAGAGTAAGATCTGCAATGGTCTAAGTCCAAGAGCACTTTGGGAGACAGAAGACTGGGTTCCTAGGATCAGTAACATGATATAAGCGAAATCCATCATCTCTAAACTTAGATTCCGGATGTGTAAATGGAGGTACAACCACCTTCCCAGCCCGACAGTGGTGTTTTAAAAACATGAACACACTGAAAACCAGTATAGTATTCCAGAGATGTTTGAGATGTTGCTATAACTCAAATTATATTATTTCATGTACCTAATGTCTATCCTCTAGCCATCTTGCCAGTACATGCAATTGAAGAGCTTAGGAAAGAATGTGAATTGATTGGTATCACTGTACTAGAAAAATTACATATAGCTTATTTCCAATGGCATTTTAAGAGTTTACTATAGGAAAAAAAAAAAAAGGCACTGATTTTGTATCAAAATAAAGAGATGGAATTGACAGAAGCAGTCTGTGGAGAAATAATCTTACCGACTACCTTGAGACCTGATATTGTGATGGGGTCTTAAGTAAAGCCACTAATCTGGAACCTTCTGCTAGTCTCTAGCCAGGCTTGCTGGGGCAGATGTTTTGTTAAACATCAGCGTTTTGACTACTTCGTTCTTTCTACATAGATCAGCCTTCCCATAAAACCCACCCTCTTGGCAGGTACACAGACCTCTGACGGCCCATCTATGTATTTCATTCTTTCCCAAATGCATTGGCAGAGTGCAAACTTAAACAGTGGTGGGGCACATCTGGGACTTTCAAAGCATCAGTAAAGGTCCTGTAAAAATACCACTGGACACTCCTCATTTTAGCCCCTTTGTTCCCTGGTAATCAAAACCAGATGGAAGTGGGAAATTACAGAGACTTGGAGAGTTATTACACTGTTGGAATTTATAAAATCTTTACGAAAATCTCTCCAAGCTGAATCTGGACCCTAATTTGCTGGACTTCCACAGCATGGGTGCATTATACTGCAAATGAAACCTAAAATTATGTTAGCCAAAAAGCTTTTTTCTTAATTTACGGTATTCTGGGAGCCTAGTCTCAGGGGCTGATCCTGGTAGCTTTAATACATACTGACTAAGCCTAGGCAGATATGCCTAAGGAGACTTCTTCCTTTGGTCCCATCACATCCCTTAGAGACATTATATGTTCAGCAACACTGAAATAAAAGATGCACACACCCCTTGACTAAGCAATTCCACTTTTAAGAATTTATCCTATAAAAATACTTAAACACATATCCAAAAATGTATTCAAGTATATTCGTTACATTATTTATAGCAGCAATATATGAAATGATCTGTGGGTGGCAGCCACTGCTACTTCGTATCTTATCTCCAATATTCTTTCTTCCCCTTTCCCCTTTAACAGCAGAACTCTCAAGCTGTAGCCTAGTACATAGCTAGATTTTCCAGCCATCACTGCTGTGAGAATGGCCATGTGACAACTGTCTGGCCAACGGGACATATGCCAGCACTTCTGAATGATATGTATAAGGAGGCTTCAAAAACTGTGTGGAAAAATGGAATTAAAGTACAAGTTTATTTCAGGGCCAACATATTTGAAACTCATGCATAGCTTTCCATAATATGCTTTGTTGTTATTAAGGTTTTTGCCATAGGGCATGTGGGGTGGCCAGAGAGACAAAAAGAGGGAACATGAGAAATCACCCCCTGGAGGGATGGCCACACCACAATCCCTCCTCTTCCAGAATCCTCTTGGGATTTTGGGTACACACACACACACACACACACACACACACACACACACACACACACACATGCACACAGTGTGATTTTCAAGCCACCTAGTCTAGGACTCAAACTGCAGTTGGCTACATGGGAGTCCAGTGCCTTAACCACTACACCACCTGCTGGCCCCCATAATGTGCATTTTCCACGAGCTCTCTGAAGACAGCCCTCATAAAAGGAGCAGCATGCATAGTCTTTCCCACTTCCTGCAGGCTGGCATACAAGCGAAGGAAGCAGCAACAGGCATGTTCTCTGAGGCAGAAGCCATGCAATGAGGACTGCAGAGCCGCTCCTAGCGCCCACTTACCTCTGAGCTGCTTGATCAGAGACAAATACGTTTCTACTTTGTTTAAAACCACTATATCTTAAGGTCCTTCCCCCCGCCCCCCACCAGAAGCTTAAACTGTACTCTAACCCAAAACCTAAGTACTGACATGGAATAACCTCCAAAACAGATTGTTAAAGGGAAACCCCTGAATCCCACTAAAAGCAGAAGTTCTCAACCCCAGCAGCACATTAAATTCACACAGGAACTGGGCCAGCCCACGGCTTGATAGTTAATGAGGCTGAACTCCATGTGGCCAACCATACAGTTTAAGTCTCGGACCAGTCAGCTTGAAAGGCACACCATGCGCGCGCGTGCCCAAAATCTCGAAAGGAGAGGGAGATGAAGGCAAAGGCAAAGGGATCGTGGCCTGACCATGTCCCATGAAGGATGTCTTCTTGCTTCCTCTCCCTCTCTGGTGAACACATGCAGCCTCTGACGAAATTTTTTTTTTCCAAAAATTACATAGGAACTGTCTTAAAAATACCTACATTGCACCACATCCCAGAGGTCAGCTAAATCAAAATCTCTATAAGTATAGCGTGCAGATATAGTCCTTTTTTTTTTTTTTGGAGAGGTTTTTTGCTATTGGGCACGTGTGCTCACCAGACAGACAGAGACAGAGAGACAGAAAGCAGGAAATCACCCCCCAGGGGGGATGGTCACGCCGCAATCCCTTCTCCTCCATTCTCCTCTCGGGATCTTGGGCACGCACGCACACGCGCCCGGCGTGAGTTTAAGCCACCGGGTCCGGAACTCGAACTGTGGTCGACTACGTGGGAGTCCAGCGACATAGCCATTACGCTAACTGCTGGTCCCTGCACTGCTCTTCTTTCAACTCTAACTTCTACCACTTCTATTATTGTGTGAGAAATTCGGGACATGAGCAGGAGCCACTAAGGGGGAAAAATGAAAGCCCAGACAGAGTCTGATATACCCTGGGTGGCTTGACCTGATTTCTAGTCAGATCTATATTTTTAGGCCTTTCACAGAGAATTATGACATAACACTGAAATGTCCTTGACTTGTCCAAGATCACCAAAGATACTTATCTGAAAAGAAGCATTCTTTCAATCCACTGTTCTTTTCTCAAGCCCATATAAACATTTATCTTAGGGAGCTAATTCTTCTGATGACGTAAAAGATTGAGACTTTCTTCTTTCACTAAGAAGCCTAATCAACTCCTCAAAAGACAAGGGCATACATTAAAGCCGCCATGAAAGGTCACCCAGATGACCAAGCAGCATGACCTTTCCCCTGAACAAGGAGTAAACCTACAAAGCATATTCCTTATAATGATTTCAGTTCAAGTTTTCTTAAAAGATTTTGCTGTAGTTTCCTCTTACTGTTTATCCATACATATCTGATTTCTTGTCCAAATACCCTATATCTGGCAAAAGGTTAAGCCAAAGACAAGTTAGACAAGCACATATTATTATTACTGTTGTTATTTTGCAAATCAACTGTTATTGAACTAAAAAAATAGGATCAGTTATATGGCCTGGTGGTTAAGGCAGCCAGATCCTACATGGCTGTTTGTGTGGTTCGAGTCCTGAATTCAGTGGCTTGAGAAATACATCCAGCATGCATGCATCCCCAGAACCCGAAAAGGAGGGAGAAATGGAGGGGACGGGACTATGGCGTGACTATTCCCTATAGGGGGTGCTTTCTCCTCTCTCCTCTCTCACAAGTGCACACACCCTCTAGCACACACACACACACACACACACATAAAAGAACTGAAAAATTATAGCAGTGTGTTTATGTGTGCACGCACGTGTGTGTGTACGTGTGTTTGTGTGTGTGGCACTAACAATGTACCATTGTCATTGTGACAATGACTGTGACAATCACTTTTTAAGTATTACATAATCAAAATCTCTAACAATATAATCAGGTAAGTAGTGTTATTACCACTTAAAAATGAGAACATTTAGGCTGGGAAGTTAAGGTCGTATAGGAAGTTGTGCAGCAGGGATTCAAACT